AATAAATATATGAAAAATGTTCAATCTTACTAGCAATTGAATAAATGAAAATTCACATGATGTTCTGTTTTCCTCTATCATTGGTGACTTTAAAATGATTTTTAAACATTAGCTTTAAGTTCAAGGTGGCTATAATGTGATGGCCAGTTGTCTCTTTCCAAACCATGACCTCTTATTAAAATTATTATGGATTAATGATACATTTTATTATCAAATGACACAAATTTTTTGTATCTGTCTTCCAAGAATTTATTGGTTATTTTTGCACATTTTCCCCCCAGATAAACTTTAGAAACACTGTTTCAAACGTCAAAGTATACCTTAGGTGTTTGGATTGGGCAAGCATTAATCATATAGATTGACCATAAATTAATTTAGAAAGAAACAACACATTTACAATATTGTCTTCCATCTTCAAAGCAATGTTACATCTTTGTGTATAGCTTGATCCTCTATCTCCTTATTTCACCCAGAACAAGGAACACCTTAGGGGCAGGGACACTGCCGATGGAGCTCTTGTGGACTGAGTAACATACCTTAGTAAATAAATAATTGTTGATTAAATGAATTAATTCACAACTGAAGGAACGATCTAAGCAACAACAGCAATAGCAAAAAGCAAGTTCATCCATTGTGTGACACTCTAACTTCTGCTTGATTCCAGACCTCCTGTCCTTCAGGGATCCACTGTACTACTTCTGTTCTTGCACATGTCGGGTCATCTTACTCCTTTGGGCCCGGGTATGTGCTGTTGCCTTTCATGGAAGCACTTCCCTCTACTCCCTCCACCTATAGCAAACTTCATCTTTTTCCTGTTTGACTGTCAGGCCTCAGGTCAGAGTTACTTCTTCCAGAAAGCCTTGATAATCAGTCCTACCCCTAAAGTTGAATTTGGCACTCGTCCCATAGCATCAGTATTTTCCCCATGATCAAACAGGCTTGCCCCTTCCTTTTCTTTTCTAAAAGACAATTGGGCATGATGGCTAAGAGATGCAGCTTCGAAGTCAGTCTGCCTGGATGCACAACACGGTCCCATCTTGCACCGGCAGTGTGACTTCTGGGAAGGCATCTCAGTTTTGTCATATAGAGGGGTACAGTGAGGGTAATGAAAGCGCCTTCCACATAAGGTTATTATGAGGCTCAGATACATTAATATACATAGAATGTGTAGAAAAATACCTGGTACGTAGCATTATAGAAGTACATGTGATCATTATTACTTATACAAACTATTTTTGTACAAGATATCCTATTACAAGCCACCAGAATATAGTCCATTTTATTCTTTGTTTTATCCCAAATGCCTAAAACATTGCTAGATAACAAGTACTCAATAAATGCTTATTAAAGTAATGATTTGGTATATTAGCTCCATATTGGCTCTGCTCTCCTTTAAGGCAATATTTTATTTATTTTAATGGATGATTTCTTTATTTGAGTATCTTCATAAAGAGCTATGTTGTATCCTTGTTGTTTGTCTATTGTCTACACTGAAATTGGGTTGGAGATTTTTTCTTTCTTTCATGGTGCTCTTGTGGATCACAGCTTTGAAAATGCAAAGCTGCCTAATGGGCTGTTTAGGAAGTAGTGAGACCTCTATCAAGGCATTTAAGCACCTGATAAGAGGTTGGGCTGTGTAACTTTTCCAAGTCAGCAATTTGTGATTCTGTATTCTATGTCCTCAGAGCACTTAATAAGGGCGGTTAAGTGAAACATTTAGTCTAACCACATAAAGCATATATTAGGTTAAATGCATTTTGCATATGTTTAAGATGGCTCTTATTATGGTAAATAAAACCGTACCATTTTTCTGATCCGTGGATGAGATTCTGTGACATCAGGTGCTGGAAATGCATTTAAACCTACTTGGCAATTGTTTGGTGCCATACCACATATTTTACCGGTCATTTAACTTGGTCAATTTTTAATAATACAAATATATTGTATAAAGTGACACTGCAATTTAAACAAGGGCACATAATATTTTACAAACCTCAAATTTGGAAAAGAGAAAGTGCATTTTTTCCTCCTTGCTACCCACAGACACAAAAATAAAGACTTTGAAAAGGATTCTGGACAAGGAATCAGGAAGTCTGAGTTCTAGTTGTCGTTCTTCTATAGATAAGATGGGCTGGGAGCTTTACCGTTTTGGTGCATGTGGAAATTCCAAGTACAAAGTAGTATTATAGCTTAACAGTCACCAGGGGCTGGCCCTCTCTTGCACAATGCCATTCACAGTAAACCTATGATGCACCAAGGGGCTATTAAAATAGCCCCCAACCTAGCTCAGAGACCCAGAGCTGGAAGGGACATTCTGACTGGGTCTGGCTATGCAGATGAGTTCAGAGCCTGGGAGAAAACAGGATGTGGGCTCCTGAGAATTGTAATAAAGACAGAAAGCATTTGCCTCCAGCTTCTGGGGGAGGTTCTGCCTCTGTCACCCGATGTCCTTTCACCATGACATAAGCAGAGAGAATTCTTCCCACCTCATGGCAGACATTTACTGACAGTTACTCCATGGCTTTATGGTAGATGCCTCATTTTGACTTCCAGTTCCAGAAGCTTCCATCTACACTCTCGTTAATTCTGTTTTCTCAAAAGAACAGTGTCCCATCTACCTAGAGAAAAAAAAAATGTTCTTTCAAAAACAAGACAAACATAAAACATCCAAGAATCAGTCAGCCTCCACTGCTCTGCTCACTCAGGTTGTTTCTATGTCACCTTTGTGAGATTTTGAGAGTGCAATGGAAAATATGGTTTTTGCGACAACATATTCAGACCATTGCTGATATCTCCCCCATCTCTACCTTACCTGAATTAGGTCCCTCTGCTCCATGCTCTTGTGACATCCAGCACTTTCCTTTCCTAGTTCTTGACACAGTTGGGAGGGTCATTTGCTGAATGGCTCTCTCACCTTCTAGATGTAAAATGTGTAAAACCAGCATGCATGCCTGTCTCGTTTACCAGCTTTTTTCCTCCCCCAGCAGCCAGCAGAGTGCTTGGAACAGTAGGAACCCAGGGAATGTGTGGTTCAGATGTTTATTCTGCTTTCTGCTTCATTTTAGCACACAGTGGAGCTGGGTTTGGTGGAGTTGTTGTGTGCATCTGATGATATGATTTCCTTAAGTAGTCACCAGGAACATTCTGATCAAGATAAGACCTCACGCTTGTCCCGTTGACTGTTGACTTATGAATATTAATTAAATGCCAATTCTTTAGGAATTCCTCTTTTGTAATTTCTCTGCTCATATACACATGGCTAAAGAAAAAATTTATAACTACTGTACAGTCAAATGCATTGAGGAAAAAGGATGTACCATGCCTAACATTCACATCCTCTGGGTGTGCAGCAGGTCTCTGTGTGCTATTGTCAAGTCAGTTCTTCCAAGTCTCCTAAGGAAATGAAAAGGATTGGGGGTTCCATTTGACTCCAGTGCAAGAGAGCTTAGAGTAGGCTCTTCTGTCCCTCGTAAGTTTAACTTGATGGGCTACATGTAGCTTGGATTTGATCTGAGGCATGAATCATTCATTAGGTAAATGGCTTAAAGTGGCTGGATCTAAGTCATGCACATTGCATGGGTGGAGGGATTGGGGTGGCCATTTCTTATCGATGATTGGTAAAAATACATCTTTCTACCTCTTTCCTGCATCATAACATAATTTTAACTTTTTTTTCTTTTCCCCTCCCCTTCCCTTTTCCTCCTCTCTCCCTCCCTTCTCCTCTGCCACTTTCTACTCTTTCTCCTCCTTCTTTTCCACCCCTTTACCCCCTGCCCAGTTGTTATTTTCTGGCTATGTAGGACAAATGCCAGGTAATAGTCAAAATTTTTTCTGAAATGTTCTACAATTCAGAGACTTGGCCAAATCCATTTTGGTCATTTTTTATTAGGATGGAGGAGGTTCAATTTCGAAAAGCAGAAGGCATGAATAGGGCAAACCTGTGTGGAGCTCTTTTAATGCCTTAGTCAAATACCAGAAACAGGCAGTTAGATCTTTCTTCCTTTCTTTCTCTTTAAGTGACTGCAATCACCATGCTAAACTAATTACATCATTTCCTGATTTATTTGGAATGTGTATTTGTAGAGCTACACATGTAGACATAGCTATCTATACTTTTAAGGAAAATGAAGTCAATAGTCACCAATTTCTTTAAGTCAAATAATTCCAAATGCAGCAGACCTTTTCCAAATGCATGAGAACCTGAGAAGGGTGGATTTGCGTGCTCCAAGGGTCTGATTGTATAGCTGGCTCACTTCACTCACTTTACCTCCATCTCGGGGCTCGGATCATACGTGATAAGGCACTTGGGCAATTGGTTCTGGTTTCAACTTCAGTCTTGCAGCCTACTTCATTTACTTACTTTTTTGTTGTTGTTGTTGTTAAATATTACAGTCTTTGATAATGCCAGGTTCCACAATGAGATTTTTATTTTCCAGGTTGGCTCTCTTGCTTTCTCTGTGGTGCACTGCTTGATATGGGAAAGTCATCCTGAAATGGGGACTGTTTTGTCCCACTGGCAAATACACTAATTAATGCTAAATAGGACTTGACATGAATCATTTGATCACAGGATCTTAAGGCACCTCTGGGCATAACTATTATTTCCAATTGGTCTAGCCTGAAGCATTCCTTTAAAATTCTTTTTGAGCACGAAGACACGGAATAGTCTAAAGGATACAAGTGCCCTAAAATAAGGTTCTTTGGGCATTTTAGAAAAAAGGGTTTATGTTTTGGGTGGAACCAAGACAATCCTGCTTCTGTTCAATTCAGACTTATATAAAGTTTTTTATTGGGGGGAGGAAAAAACCCTAAGCCATAGTGGGTCCTTATTTTTTCTCTATATTTGAAACCACTGGTGATCAAGAAATAGTTTAATCCAAATTGCAAATATTTGTAAACATATAGGAAATGTACCACCTTCAAAGGGGGCTGGGCAGAATAGACCCTAGGAGCCTGTAAAATCTCTCTCTCTCTCTTTCTCTCTCTCTCTCTCTCTCTCTTTCTCTTCTCTTCTCTTCTCTTTTCCTTTTGGTCCTTACTAAAATGAGGAAGAATAAAAAAGTTATTTTGCTGGAACAGATTGGAACTGAGTAAAGTTGAACAAACACAAATCTTACACAATGAAATGTAAATTTGTCTAAGCTATGATGCCAAATATGTTTTTTCTTTCCTTTTCAATGGTAGCAATAACAGAGAAGCAGATTGGCCCCATGATCAGGAGGGAAGCTTGCCCAACTCCTGGTCTTAATGAAATGGAGACTTAAAAAACAACAACAGCAAGTTTCACATGGCCTGGCAGAGGTTCAAAGGCTCAGTCAGAGCAAGATTTCAGTTAACCTCTCCACTGGCTTTGCTCTGTTTTTTTTTTTTTTTTTTTCCTTTTCCCTTTCCTACTCATCCTCCATCTCCCTGTTCTGTCAATGTTTCCTGGGTGAAATCTTCTGAATATTTCTTAGTGAGGTTATCATTTTGACTTGAGAGTACATCAGATCCAAAGCATAAAGAATGCACACCCCCACCCCCCCAAGCCCCCAAATGCACTTGGATAAGGTAACCCAAGACTATCCTTTCCTTGAAGGGCATAGAGATTCTGCAGTCTCACGATTTAAGCTTGATATGAGTATTCCCCCTCATCTCCACCCAGGAGATAAGCTGAGAGTTTTGCTTTGAGTGAAATGAGGTTTTGCATGCTGGTGAGATGCGATGGGTTAGTAGACCTGGCTGATTTCACACCTGGGGTGCATATCTCACGGCAGCCTGTGGATTTGCTTGTATCCATTGGTCCTGGCTGTGAGAAGATGCTGTGGCCTGGATGAGGGTAGAGAAAGAAGACAAGCACTTTTCTTGTTCCTGACAGTAACTGGAATGTCCATAGTGACATAGATTTGAGGCCTCTAGAAGTTTGGTTGAGGAGCACAGGGCATTTATATCCAAAGCCGTTGCCATGTATTTCAGTGTTTCTGAAGTAGTATATCCCTCAGCTGTGTTTTTAAAGTTCCAGAACACCAAAACCTCGTGAGCTGCTGTGGGTAGATGTGGGTAGATGATGGAACAGAAATTAATACCATAAATTGATCTGAAAGCCCTTTGATATGAAATTCAAAGAATCTTAGGAAATAAAGCACCATTCTGGCTATCTTTATCTGCCTAGTGAAATTTTTACCCAAATCATTACAGGTGAACAATTATTTAGTGTTCTCTAAAAGTAGTTCTGAAAAAAAAGTCTTAGACTATGCTTTGAACAACTTTCTTTGGAAATGTCTCTTCATGCTAAGCCATGATGCCTTTTGTTGTATTTTTTCCTTCTTTCTAACTGAAGGATCTCTTGCTTTAACACTTTATTTTTTCCCCTTAAAATTGGCTTATGACAGCTGATGAATTGGCCTTCCAAATTGCTAATTCAACCTTATCCTTGTTCCTTCCAGCCATCAGTCAAGCTGCATTAGATTTTCCCTGTTGATAATTTCCAGTTTCAGTTTTGTGAATCCAGTCTTCTCAACTTGTCATCACCAAAAATATTAGTTTTAAATTGGATAATAAAGACACATTACCTCTCTATCAAATGCAGATAAAATAGCACGATGCCTAATATATTTATAGCTCTCTACCTGAAATGACTTTAAGAAACTTTCCAAAAATATTTTCTCCTAAAACATCGATGCAATGAGTCACTTGAGATCACCTGAGTCATTATTAATAAAGTGAATTATGTCCAGATTTCTGGGTATCTGTTTACCTACTGGACATGAGTCTCTAGTCTGTGAGAAATCTGTTTCCCACTCTCCCCACCCAACAAGCACAAGTTTTTTTGTTTTGTTTTTTTTTTTAAAGTCTTCTTACACTGTATTAATTGTTCCTGTCCTCTCTTTTGGGACAGGGTGTAGAGGGGCAGGTTTGTTGAAACTCCTAAGTTTGAGACATAAATTGGGACTTTCCCTGCTATGCTGTTGTCACCGATTTGGAAAGCAGTTTGCAACGCCTACTGAGAGTTATACGTGGGAAGGCGAGGGAAAGGGCTATAGAAGGAGAGGACCCTGACAGGGTTTACTCATAGTGTTGGCTAGTAGAGAAAGAAGGCTGGGGCACTGACAATCAGAAAGAATTTGTTTACTTTCTGAAGCTACGGAGTCAACATAGTTGACTCAGACTCATATCAGTCTGTAACATTTGGAATGCTGTGTAGCTGAATAGTTATAAGACAAGCTTTGGAGCCAGACTGTCAGGCTTCAAACTCTAGTACTACATAATAGCTGTGTGATCTTGGGAAAATTATCTAACTTCTCTGTGCCTTATATTCCTCATGTGTGAAAGAGCATTGAACTCCTACCTGGTAGGGTTTTGTGAAAATTAAATATTAATATAAATATATATTGGCCCATAGCGAGCCTTCAATAAATGTTAGCTACTTACAATTGAATAAAACAGCTTGGCTCCCCCTCCAGGAGAGTACTTTACCCCAGTTCAGGTATTAACCTGCCAAACATAGAAATATCTCCTGTGTTAAATAGTCTGATCTGAACTCATGTAACTAAAAGTTCCGATTGATACTTATTCCCGCAATTAACTTCAAATCATACATTTTATGTAAAATATGGGCTTTAGAAGAATGAAAGATTTGGCTTAGATTAGTAATCCACCCATCCTTCATCCAATGAGCATTTAGTAGATGATCTACTTTGTCCCCAACTCTGACCTAGGCCCCATGAGGAAAAAAAGATCAAACGGACAAAAGTTGTCCATGAAGAAACCACAGCATAAAAGGTGAGTGATTGGTATCAATGATAGAGTTGCCAGATAAGATATAGGAAACTCTGTTAAATTTGAGTTGCAGATAAATAATGAGTAAACTTTTTATTATAAGTATGTCCTAAATAGTGCATATACTTTAGGATGATCTGATGACTCCCGCTTTCCTCTCCCTCTCTTCTTTTATCTCTGAAGCCACCACAGGCACCAGGGATGCCAGACAGACTTACTGAATTGGAACCTCAGATAAGCTCCCTTCCTCATTGCAGGAGATGGTAAGTCAAGAGCATCTTAAAGAATTTCTACAAATTCTAGACCCAACCTCTGTATGTGGCAGAGTTTTTGCCTATCTATAAACCTGCTGAGCATTCTTCCCCTATTACTCACAAAAATTTTTAAACTGTACTTTGAATCAAAGGAAAACATCTTCCAAAAATAAAACTATTTTGAAGCTTTTTACCAGTTCCCTATGGAAATCTAGAGAGATGTACATGGTCTATATGGAGAGTAGCACCAAGATTTGTAAGAGACCTTTTAGATCCATATCTTGCATTTACAGATGTAGACACACATATATATTAACATATGCACACACACACACACACACACACACACACCCCAAATAGCATTCATCCCTTGGAAAAACAATGACTTGCTTGTTCACTTCTTAGGCAGTGTGTGATTAACTGGAACATCCCTTACTGCCTTGAAGGTCTTGCACCTGAGTGTGCGTGTTCTTTTGGGATCTAACCGAATCCTCCCAGACTGGGTGGTTTCCTGTCTGGGCTGAACTCGCAAAACAAGGGAGCTACTGGAGCTGAAAATAGCACTTGGCCTGATGGCTTGGGCATTGACCAAAACTGGAAAAGTTCTGGATTTGGGGCGGGGAAGAGAATACCCCAACATCAACAAAGTGACTAATGATGTCACAAACCTAAGGAATAAGAGTTAGAATTTCTCTGTTCAATGCCTTCCCTCATTTAATTTCTTTATCTTGTAGCTCTTCCACCTCCCACACCCAACCCTATCACTACCCACTGCCAGCAACCTTAGTGCTGTGACACTACTCTAAGAAAAATTCAAACTTCAGTTGACAATTCTAGGATGTGCAGTGCCGGACATGGAGTTGGTGGTTCAGTGAATGTTCGTTGAATACATTGCAAACTGAAGAGTCCGCCACTGTTACTACTCAGCATTGGTCAAAGTTAGATATTATAAAAGTGAGAAAAATGCCATTAGATGTCTTAAAAGCAAGTGGGAAGAGTCTCACTTAACCCAGGCTCCCTAAATGAGCTTTTAACAATATATGGCAAATCCATTAGGCTTATTCTGCTGCTTTTCTAAGTGGCTTAAACAAAGGGAAGGTCTTTCCCCTCAATATGCACAAGTGGCCTTTATCTATAGTAAAAGTTTTCATGAAATTCTCGTGTCCCAATACTCTCCTCCAAATGTTACATCTTAAGAAATAACTGGGTTCAGCGAGGCTTTGCTACAACATGGGGTAGAACAGCCTTATGCATGTGTCGTGGGTCCTGATTGTCACTTGTAAAGTAATTTGTGGTCTGGATAAGATATTCCATAAGTCATTCCATAACTTTTTTTCCTTCAACAAAATTTTCCACTGAGTAATGACTAACCTTTTTCTTTCGGTGGAGCCACTGGTAACTGATGAAATGAGAAGGAAGCCAAGGCTCGCAGCCTAGATTTTGCTGCTACGGTCTTGACCAGTTTCCATTTCCTTTTTAGAAACACTTTTTGTGTCTGTTGAAAAACTCGAGTTTGTCATTTCTTCTTTTACCACTTCTTCTCTTCTAGGTTATTTTTCTCTTGGCTGCAATTGAAACTTTTTCATACTAGGCTACAGTGGAAGTAATCAAATAGCTAAGAGGCAGAGAGAACAATAGCTTATTTTCAAATGATAAAGCAAGTGACAGGTTATAATTTGGGAACTTTTGATGTAATAGAGGAAATGATTATGGAATATCAAGAGGTCTTTAAGTCTGCACACTTACAACAATTTTTTGTGCTGGATGTCCTTATTCATATAAAGAATATCCAAATTTGAATGGATTGAAGGATAAGTTTCAAAGCTCTTGCCAGTATAATAACAAGTGTTGGTGAGGATGTGGGACACCTGCAGCCTCCTGCATTGCTGGTGGGCATGCAACAAGGTGCAGCAATTTTGGAAAATGATTTGGCAGTTTCTTAAAAGTAAACATATTTACCATATGACCTGATAATCCCACTACTAGGTTTTTATGTAAGAGAAATGAAAACATACATCCACACAGACTTATATGTGAATGTTCAGAACAACATTATTCAAAATAACTGCCCCCCCAAAAAAAAATCCATCCAAATGTCTCTCAATTGGTGAATGGATAAAGAAAATGCAGAGTGTCCCATGCAATGGAAAACTATTTGGCAATAAAAAGGAACTAGGTACTGATACATGCTACAGCATGGACGAACCTTGAAAACATTACGCTAAGTGAAAGAAGTCATATGCAAAAGACATGTATAGAATTGTAAATATTGTGTCACTCTATTCATATGACATTTCAAGGAAAGGTCAGTATATAAAGATAGAAAGTAAAGCATTGGTTGTCTTAACATGTGGAAGATTATTACTATGGTTTCTATAACCTTGGGGATAATCCTCTGTTAGTGTTTATAAGCAAACAGGATTCAATTAGTAGATCTCTAACTTAGTGAGCATCTTTGGGTTTTCATGTTATGAAAGCTTTAGTGGGGCTACTCTTAATAACCAATATACTCTGCATACCTAGTGCTTGAGAGTTTCCAAATGGAATAGGAAAAAGAATATACCATACTTGTATATAATTCCCTAAATGAACAGATTTAATTATGATCTGACCAGTTTTGGGGCTTTCTCTGATGGCCAGATTGCTTGGATGTTTGTCTTCTGTCTATAGCCAGTGGATATTCAACCTATCAGGAATGATAACTGGCAGGTTTTTCTAGGAGCTGTTAGGCAACACCTATGTCAGCAGTTCCTGGCACTTGCCATGGAGGTACTCTGGAGATTTCTTCTTTTAGAATAAATTCATTAAAAAATTAGGCTTATTAGGGACAAGAATGTTTAAAAAATGCAGGACAAATACCCTATTTATCTAGGAAGTTAATCGTCCTCTTTACTTCATTTTTACTGTGAACTTGACCTATGGTTTCAATGGCATCTTCACGGTTATTGTGTTTTATATGTTACAGCTTATAAAATAGCTGGGGGGTGACATAGCGTGACCTAAGGGGATATGTTTATGTTACCGACATGCCTTCACCATCACAGTGTCTTGTGGGTGTCATCATGGGACCGCCGGATGAATGGTCTAAGTGTCTTTACTTTAGCATGTGGAAGACAATGAAAGGATCAGAGAATCCGTCCACAATCATGGCTCCTCATAGAAATGGTGCATCCTGAGACCCTTATTTTAGTCATTGTACAGTGATATGTACACTGCCTTTTGTTCTCTGTCCAATCCAAGTACTGCTTGAAATGGTCAATGGGGCTTTAAAGAAAGGTTTTGAAATATAATCCAGATTCATGGGGAAGTTTAAGTTCCCAAAGGTCACAATTAAGCCTAGCCTCAAGGATAGTTGGATAGTTGCTATTTCATCTGCCCTTTCTTGCAGATGAGGCTATTGAAACCCAAAGATGGTATGTCAGTTACCCTGTTCACACATACACACAGCCTAGTGGAAATGAGAGCAGAGCTAGAATTTAAATTTCCTAACCTAATCCCCGGCCTCTATTTTCTGGAAACATCACCTCCTACTCTTAAAGGTTACTGCAGGTATTATTTTGTTTAATTTCAGAGATTTGGTTATTATTATTTCTTGGGGATAGCTGCTTAATGACATTCTTTTCAAGCATAAACTTCCAAACAATCTGCTTTGCTTTTAAACCAATACATTATTTCAGTGGCCTGATGGGCTGTGGGTTTGTTTCAGTAACAGAAAGTTAGAAGCCACAGTTTTGTTCAGAAATGAAGGATTTCATGGAAGACTGAACTTCTACATGTAAGAGGTTTAGCTTGCACTCTAAATGTCAGCCACCTTCCAGAGCATTGAGACTCCTCTGTGTTTCCAGGCCCACAGCATTCCTATTGTAAATCACCTCACACAAGTTTTTAGAGTTCTTTCAGTGAATGTTTTCTCAAGTTGGAATCCTGTATTAGCTAATGGCATTTTACATTTTGACCGAAATGTACAGTTCTAGTGGTTTGGAAAGAGCTTTAGAAATCCTCTGGTTAAAGTACTGGTTGTCAAGGACACCATGTGCTTCCAGGTCAACCAGTACTGAAAACAAAATAGACAGGTTCTAACTTTTCTTAGAATAATTAGTTGTAACATTGTTCAGGTAGAAGTGTTCTCTACATTTTAACCGTATTCTCTTTACCACAAGGCAAGCCCATTTATTCAACATGTGTGCTCATGGAAAGCTATGCGAGTGCTTAGTTAGCTATCAGAATAAAAGCTTAATTTACTCTCATTTGCAAAAGGCAATTGAAGAAGCAAATATTCCTTTGAATGGGAATGGTCTTTAGGGGAGCAAACGTGGGGAAAGGAAAATGTGTGAGGAACTACGTTGGGAAGAACGAAAGGGGTCCTGTTGATCTGAGAGGCGATGCAAAGAGCATGAGATGGGCATCTAGACAATCCTCGGTGTGCACTTGGTTGCTCTAGGACTATGCTGAGAAATGTGGTTCACCAACAATTAGGTTCAAAACTATGCTAGATTACTTGGGAGTTATAAAAATAGACAAGACCAAGTGCCTATCCTAAAGGAACTCACAGCTCCTTGAGCAAGTTGTAAGGTCCCTTCAGAAGGATTGAGGATAGGCACCCAGAATGTGACTGTATTTGGAGATGGGGTCCTTAAAGAGTTAATTAAGTCAAAATGAGGTCGCTAGAATAGGCACCAATCCAATGTGACTGGCGTCTTCATAAGAAGAAGAAATTCGGACACAGACGTGTACAGAGGGAAGACCATGTGAAAACAGAGGGAGAAGATGGCCAGCTACAAGCCATAAAGACAGGCCTCAGAAGAAACCAGCCTGCTTGACACCTTGATCTCAGAATTCCAGACTTCATAATTGTGAGAATATGTATATATTTCTATTGTTTAACCTGAGTGGCATTTGTTACGGCAGCCTTAGCAGACTAGAATTGCCCACAAATAACTATAGTACAATGTAAATGTGAAAGACATATTTAGAGACACCGAGTTCAGAGGAAAAGATGATGTCCTTGTTTGAAAATCAGAAATGGCTGCAGAAAGGAAAAGGGGTTTGAACTTGAAAGATGAATAGATTTGAAATGAGAAGATTTGGGGAGCAGGCACTCTAAGCCAAAGGGGCAGGAGAAGAAAAGTTTATACAGATCTATAGGATATTTGGAGCAACTGAGGACAATCTAGTTTAGCTGGAATGTGTGTTTATTAAAGGAGGAACCAAAGATGAGGAAGAAAAAAATAATACTGCAAACGCAAATTAGACCACGTGGTGGACGGCCTTGGATTCCAGGCCAAGGAACATGGAGCTTATGCAGTTGGTATGCAGTGGAAAGCCTCGGGTTTGTATTTAATTAGTTACTTAATTTAGCAAATATTTGTTAAATGTCTACTTTGTGCCAGGCACTGTCCTTAATAAGCTTGGGGTACTTTAATGCACAAAGCAGGCAGACATCTCTGCTCTTGTGAAACAGACAGGCAGGAGATCATGCACATAATAAGTGATATGTTTATGATACCAATTTATTATTTCAATCATAATTATACTAAGAATATTAGGTTTTATAGTATGTTGGAAGAAATAGATTCTATGGAAAAATGTGTAGCAGTGCATGGAGTATCAGGAATGCTGGGGGTGGAAGGATAAGTTACAATTTAAGTGGAATAGTCAGAGCAGAAGATGAGATTGAGATTGAGAAGATGGCATTTGAGCAAATCTTGAAGGAGGTGAGGAAGCTGGCCATAATGCTATATAGCAGAAGAACGTTCTAGGGATTAGGAACAGTAAATGAAAAGACAGAAGTGTGTCTGCTGTGTAGTGGGACAACGCATGTATGTGAGGGCATTATTCGATAGCTGTCCATCGACAACATCAATAGATGCTGATACTATTATCAAAAAATAGCAATAATTACTATATATCCATAATTCATATATGGATGCCTAGACTACATTAGTTTTTGCCTCTGAATGCCTTTAAATTGATGACCTCAACATTTTGCCCTTGAAACAACCCCATGAAATTGGGAGGAGCAGGTAGAATTATTCCTGTTTTATAGGTGATGAAATGGCATCCCGAGACTTTATGTGATTTGCCCAAGGTCACACTGCAGGTCTGGGAGTCTCTGCGCCCAGGATGAAACAACACCTCTCTGTTGGTGTGTGGGGCCTTTTCAGCAGGAGGCATAATGAAGCTCTCAGACAAAGAGTGGGAGGACTCCTATAAAAAATAGTGCTGTGATGTCAGGACTTCAGGAAATGCCACCCCTACCCCATGTCATGTCCCCTGCATGAGTTTCATGAAACCACTGACTCTGTCCTTAGGAACCCAAGTCCACTGCTGGCATCCCAAATGAGAACAGGTGCCCCTCACATATAACATCTCGTTTCCTAATGTTGGTGGATGGTAGAAGGAATGAATGAGATTCTCTGATCTTTGGACCTTGGTGTTTTCTTTGGATTGGGGCAAAAAATTATTTAGATGCCAAAAATGGTATATTCTGTCTATATCTGAGTAAGGAACTTGCTTTTATCTAATAATCCTCCTGTAGCCCCTAAGCGGCAGATAGGGAATCTGCGAGAATGTAATGACAAATGAAAACCATCTGAAAACAAAGTGACACACAGACACACATCCCCCTGGGGTCAGTGCTACCACTCAGGTAAGCTGCTCTGGGTCTCCCCCTAAGAAGGTCCGTAACCACCCAAGCACCCTCAATGGCAGACTGCTCCTAAAACTGCCAAGTAACATTATGTCTGAATTGGACTTTCAGAGATAGATCAGCATGAGTTATTGTTTTTTAATTGAAATATGTAAAAGTTGAATTAGTTCACATGGATTTAAAAATAAATCACAGAAAATACATGGCGTTTAGAGATGGTGGTTCATCTCTAAAGCTGTGGGTATTTGTCCTTTTATCATGATTTAATTATTACTTAAAAGGACTCTTTGGTTAAAAGAAATAAAATAATTTCACTGTTTTCTGTAACACCTTTGACCAAGTTGGCTGGTAACAAAGGCAAGAAAACAATTTTATACTCATTACAAACTTGATGAGAAAGAATCTCTCATTTTCTCCTTTTCCCTCCCATGCCCAGCCTGGTTATTGGAACCAAGAATGTGACCAAGGATCTGGAGTGTAATTTTCTCGTGTGGGATGTGAAGGAGTAGAAACAAAGCAACTTCCAGCAACTTTTTTTCATCTTTCTCACAAAGACAGGCTCAAATCCTTTAGTTCCGCTTTAATCATCTGCCTCATGACAAGTCCTCAGATTCCCCAAATAACTGTGTCAAATCAAATTAAAATTTTAATTCCACACTGGAAGATGGCAGGCAGAATGCCTCTGGTGATCTCGGAGTCCCTTCTCGCCGTGTTCTGAAGACAGCTGCTGAGACGCTCATTCAAGGATCAGTGGCTGGATTAGAGGAAAAATGGAGAGCGGTTGTTGCAAAGGTGTCAAACCGCTTGGAATGCTGCCAGCAACCTGGTTCTGGAGCCGGTAGTGGGTGCGTGTGAGGAATGGCGTGCTTGCGCTTGGGCGAAATATGTCCAAAGGAGCCACCTCCTCTGTGTTGTCATTGCGTTGCATCCAGAAGAATGTGCTCCTTGGCCAGCTTGCCTCTGTATGGAACCATTGACAGACCAGAGCGTGGATGACTTTGTACCATCGGGGCCATGCTTTGCATTAAAGCAACACGGTCATTGTTCAGCCTCCGCCGGCGGGCTGTTGACACTTTGTTGACAGTTTACTGTCTCTCTCTTCTTACCTACTGTCTCCCACTCAGCCTCCAGATTCTCAGGGTTACCTGTCCTACCACCCACTCTCCTGCTAACGTGCTCTCGGGATGTCTGGGAGAGTGGCCCAAGGACAGGGAGTGGGACGAAAACGGGGAGTGATATCAGAGGGTGGAAAGGGGTTACGGCCAGAGCAGGGAGAGATGTGTGGGCTAAAAGAAGTTACTGTGTGCTCACCAGCACTCCCAGGCCTTTCCTGGCACACTGCAAGCTAGTCATGGAAACGGGACCGCTCTGAGGGGCTCTCAAGTACGAAGGCTGCAGCTGCTGCATTTAGCAAGTGAGAATAAAAGACATCCAGTTATTTCTGAATTTCAGAGAAGCAGCATTTTTTTTTTAAGTGTAAGTATGTCCCATGCAATATTTAGCACATATTTTTTTTCCTAGTATATGTTCTATGTGACATTTGGGACATACTTATACTTAAAAAATTCATTGTTAATTTGAAACTCAAATTTAACTGGGCGTCCTGTATTTTATCTGGCGACCCTGATCCAGACCCTGTACTAAAAAGGAACAATAGAACATAATAAAACAAAAAGCTTGTTTGAGATCTGCAACAAATGGGCAAGAAGAAGCAAAAATGCATATGAATACATTTCAAAAGTTACTCTGAGTTTTCAGTGGTTCTTTAAGGTATTTTCCTCGGGAATCCTGCGCTCGCTGTGGGTGCTCTAGCAGGGGCTCGCCTTGCTGCCCCCACTCATTTCACACGTGGCTCGCTCTCCGGAAGTCCCCTCTCCTCTTCCGTGTGGCTAGTGTGGAGTCAAGGTTTAGCCAGCTCCGATGTCACTTCTTCCTCATCCTCTTGCGACCTTCGCCAGTGTCCTCGGAGGTCACTGTGTCGCCAGCAGTGGCCCTGCAAATAGATGAAGGCAATTAGACAGGATGGGGACTGTGCCAAATTGTAGAGTTCAAGCCAGAAGTGTCCTCAAATTCAGGGATGCGTATTTTTATGTGCAGTGCCTGAGCTGGGTACGTTTCAAACCCCCCTCTGTCTTTGAGGTTTTCAGTCTCCACCCATGCGTCACAGCCCATGTTCACTTCGTGTCCCCAAGCAAGCCCGTGTTATTTTTATTGCAGAGCTTGCCAAACTTGATCGTAATTCTTAACAGGTCTGTGTCCCCCATTTTACTGTGAAGTGCTGAGGGCAGAGAGCCTGCCTAAGCCATCCTTGTACCCTAGGAGGATGTGACGTGCTGGCCTGGTATCTAACAGGGGCTCAGTAGATGGTCGTCTGGTGGCTGTACATCCAGCCTGAGGAGTAAGCCCTGGACTCTGCCTTCCCTGAGTCTGTTCCATGGTCGCTTCAACTCTGGGATGGGGAGCTGTCTCCACACTTGGCACATCCCGACTTCTGTATGTGCCTGTGAGTGGATGCGCACAGGGGGGCTTCCTTATGCTGAACTTAGGGGTAGGGAATTCTCCAGTTAGAATAGTTCTTTTTCATGGGAATAACAGGCTGTGTGACAATGAGCGCGGACACCCAGATTCTTCTCCCCTCCTCCCTACACGTGCACCTGTGGGCCGCAGTTCATGGGACTCCGCCCTAGCACTGCTGTCAGTGAGAAAGCCTCAAATTCCTTGCCTGCTTTCTAGCAGCCGCCGCTGTTCAGACTGTGCTGCCTTAGTTCTCACTTCACACAAAACAGTGGAAAGAGAAAATGCTCGCCATCTATTTTGTCTAACATTTATCTTGTTTTCTTTTTCCGCAACCTTAGTAAGCGATAGGAATCCTGATCCAGAACGTGTAAATGTGTTTAAATAGTCCTCGTGTAAACTCGTGGAAACATGTCACATCCAATTACGCAATCCTTCGCTTGTACCTTCTCCTCCTCTCCACAGCGGGAACCTGGGCCATCTTTTGGTGCTGACGAGGGCTGAGGCATGGGTTCAATCCTCGGGCTGGCCGTTTGGATTTCATGGGGAAATGTTTTTGATCAGGAGCCACAAGGAAAAATCTGAACCTTGGTCAGTCGTCTTGGAAACGCATCAGAGGGAGTCTGTGCGTGACTCAGTACATCAGCCTCTCTGGCGAACAGCCGAACAGTGAAGTTGTGCTCCCGGCGTTGTCAGTGGTGAAAGGGACCAGGCGCACAGCGAGAATGGCACACAGTTTTCACCCAACCGGCTTGGTCCTGTGTGCTCCCCACCAACCAGGCTATGAAACGTGCCCTCCTCAGTGTGTCACCCAGAGCCTGCCCCTGTGAATGTCTTTAAGTCGGGTCCCCAGTCCCTTGGCTGTGTCTTGCCTTTGATTGGCATCTTATTCTGAAATTTGGTGACACGATGCTTTAAGTTTTCCCTTACTCCTTAGTCTAGAGTGGAGTACACCAGTTATTCATTCATTCATACAATACTTTATTCCAACAACTATTTATTTAGGATCTCCCATGTCTCCACCCAGTGGATAATTCCATGGATGAAACAGACACAGTTCATGTTGTCAGGAGCCTCACCTTCCAGCAGGAAGAGACAAATAATAAATATGTGAGCCCATGCAAATTTACCCATCAGGTGGAGATAGGTGACATAAAGAAAGGTAAATCAGAGGAAGGGGACATAGAGAAAGGACAGGGTGCTGTTGGGGGAGAAATATACTGCCTGGGTTAAGTACCTGTGTTCTGAAGCAAGGTTTGAATCTTGTCTCAGCATCCACAAATGTGTGACCTAAGGAGAGTTATTTAACTGGCCTGTGCCACTGTCACTACATCCATAAAATGGGACTAATAATGATACCACCTCATTGGTTTTTTGTGAGATGTAAATGAGTAAATACTCGGCAACACGTTAGCATCAGGCCTGGCTCTGTGAATGCTGGCTGTCCCTGGTCCTCTGCCAGCGCCTCCTCCTTTGCTCACTGTGGCTGTGGCATCCTCAAGCCCACTCCCTGTGTCATCCCAACTCATCCAGAAGTGACTGGTTCTTTTTCAAACTGAAATTCATTTTAGATGCCTAGTGAGAAAGAAATTATTTCTAAGATCCCATCCCATGCCCATAGTAGGGGAAGACAGGATTTAACTTTTAAAGATTGTTTTTCACAGATGATTTGGTACATAAGGAAAGATATTTGAAATTTTGTTTAGTAATTTTTAATACGACTCCGCCATGAAGAAGGATGACCTAATGCCTTTTGCAACAATGTGGCCAGAACTGGAGACCATTATCCTAAGTGAGGTATCTAAAGAATGGAAAAACAAACAACACATGTGCTCACTATTAAATTGGAACTGGTGAGCACACATGTGCATAGAGGGAAGTAAAACTCAATGGAAATCAAGCAGGAGTGAGAGGGGAGGAAGGGATGGGTGAAAACTTATCTAATGGGTACAGTGAACACTATCTGGGTGACGGGCACACTTTTAACATTACATTCACACTTTTAACATTAGCATTACAAAATCGATCCATGTAACCAAAAATATTTGTACCCCTGTAATAATTTGAAATAAAAAGAAAACATATGATGCTACTAGCTAAGCAATGTAAAACTATTGATATTTATTATTGACCTAGAAACTAAAAAATTTCATATGGTTAAACCTATTAAACAAACAGATAATAGGTTGAATTTCTTATTTTTAGACCAACTTACCCTTTCATAGCATCAACTGTACTTATTTACTTACTAATTTTGTCATAAATAAGTGCCCACTGATCCTTTTCAGTACTGGCTTTATGTCATGACTTCCAAGTGGATTTGGAGGCAGCTATCGTTGTGAAATGACCTTTTAAAAATTTTGTGAGTCTACACAATATATTTTCTTAATATATTTAGTTTTCGTCGTTAACTTGGACTTGACTTTTATCGGGAAGCCACAAATCTATTTCCAAGTACAGGTAAAACTACCAGAAATAAAATATTGCTAATATGATTGCCCATAGGAAGAAATGTAGGTATGCTTTTTTTCTGTATCATGGATAAAGAATAGAGGGTAGATAGATGGATTGATAGAGAGTTAGAGGAAATGGGGGGGTTGTTACATCTTAAACTTGCGTTTGCAACCTTATCATACTAATACTTAATTGTACTTTTACTTCTTATTATTTTAAAAATGCTTTGTAATAAGGAAAAATTAGTTATACAAATCTGGAACCAATTATTTAAGTAAGGTGACCAAGAAAGTGTGAGGCATGGTTTTAGATACGTTTATATCTACCTAGAATTCTAGATATACTGAATTAATACGTCATTGCTATCTGACAATTCCCTCTTTGTGTGTGTGTGTGTGTGTGTGTGTGTGTGTGTGTGTGCATGGGTGCCACCTCATTGAAAGACTGAAAACGTCTATCCCACATGGGCTGTCTCTGACTCTTGGTCTCTCTGGTTCTGGGTCTTTCTGGATCTCGTTGTCTTTGTTAACTGTTTCTCTGGCTTTTCCTTCTTCCCTGCACTCCTCAAAATTTATGATCAGAAAATCCAAAAGGTTAGAGACCTGTGGATGGGCAGTTGACTTGCCAGGGGTCCCTGAGTCAGAGTGGCAGGAAGTGTGACCAAACAATTCATTAACCATGTGCTCAGCATCTCAGGGGTCAGATGGGTTACCTGACAGCCCCTAATTAGCGGGTGTGAAACATCTTTGTTTCCCCAGGCTACTGAGCTAAAGTTAAGACCTCATTCTTGCTATTGATTGGTAGAGAAAAGAGAGTCCCTGGGAACAGCATAGCTTGGGGACAGGAGAAAGCTACTTTGGAAGGCCCCTCTGAAGGTCACACAAATATTTCTATATCTGGAAACAATCTGTATATTTCACTGAAACAGAACCAGATCTGTGACTAAAAATGCTATGGAACTACCTTCTACTTCAACCAAGTCCACACGCTTAAAACCAAAGGACTTTTTTAAAAAATTAATCTTATTTTAAATGAGGGTAAGATGGAAATTCAGTTTCTTTAGGAAGAAATTTTTGTCCGGTTGAACATTTCAAATTTTTATTAAAAAGAAATTATAGACATTCTCAAGAAGGCCCATCCTTATAGATTTTGAATAACTAATTGATTTTTTAAAAAACTCATTCAGCAGGTATTTATTGAGTTCTTACTGTGGGCAAAATGCCAGGCCAGTCTTTGGAAAAGTACTTCCCTTCCAGATGGTATAGTCACTGGGTTTTTGTTGTTGTTGTTGTTTGTTCAGTTTTTAAATATGTACAGGTATAGCTCATTTTCAACAACAAAAAAAAAGTGCTCCTGAAAAAAATTGTACGTAAATTGAATTTTCAAAATTGAGTCTATTTGGAGTAATAATTAGTAATCGCTCCAATCTGCTTTATGTGAATTGTTTCTTACTGAGTTAATGAACTACATACTGAATGGTTAAAAGTTTCTCTAGAGTAGAGTTTCT